TCACTATGCCTCTGTCAACTTTTGTAAGGAAGCTGAATGGCATGTTAGACACATCACATTATCATGTGAGCACATCTGAACACCCCTCTCCACAAGTGTCAGTTTTAATAGTGCAACTGAGAAGATACTGTCTCACGTACTACTCACTTAGCATGCCAGTAGGTCAAGGGAGGTTCTCCTCCCACTCTGCTCTGCTCCGGTGAGACCACATCTGGAGTACTGTGTCCGGTTCTGGGCTCCTCAGTTCAAGAAGGATAGGGAACTACTGGAGAGAGTCCAGCGTGGAGCCATTGAGATGATGAGGGGACTGGAAGCATCTCCCATGCAAGGGCAGGCTGAGAGAGCTGGATCTGTTTAGCCTGGAGAAGAGGAAACTGAGGGGGGATCTCATTAATGCTTATAAATATCTAAAGGTCAGGTGTCAGGAGGATGGGACCAGACTTTTCTCGGTTGTGCCCAGCAAAAGGACAAGGGGCAGTGGTCACAAACTGGAACACAGGAGGTTCAACTTAAACATAAGGAACACCTTCTTTACTGTGAGGCCACCAGAGCACTGGCACAGGCTGCCCAGAGAGGTTGTGGAGTCTCCTTCTCTGGAGACATTCAAAACCCGCCTGGACACGTTCCTGTGTGATCTTCTTTGGGTGATCCTGCTCTAGCAGGGAGTTGGACTGGGTGATCTCCAGAGCTCCCTTCCAACCCCTAGCATCCTGTGATAAGGTTTAACAAGTGAGGAAAAAAAACCATGGAAATCCCTTATTTTACAGATGAAGAATGCTGCAAAGTATTTATCAACTCAGACTTTCCTGGACAATACTATTCACATTTTTCACATTCCAGTCCACTCCCAGACCGTTCCTTACAGCAGCAAAAGCAGTCTGGGAAGAGCTTAGATAAATTTTAAACATGTGGTCTTAACAATTAAGAACAAAACCAGCACAAGCTAGAAGAAATGAAGGAAGTTAAAGACACTTTTTCTAAGGATGGCCTTAGGTGAGATCCCACATATCAGATGACTTCATCCAGCTGCAGTTTAACGCTCACCTCTCATTTGTCAGCGCCACAGTCTGGGAGAGAAATGCAGGTCCAGCGAACTGTGCTCACCCCTTGTTCTTTAGTGCCTTCTTGCAGCACCATTTGTCCCTCACTTCGTTAGGATTCTCCATTCGCTCTTGAATTTCACAACAGGTCAGGTCACACAACGTACTTCCCTCGTGCTTTTATTCCATGAGGCCTTTCTCACCAGTCTTAGAGCAGCACAACCTACAGTGTAGGACAGCCCCACGGTATCAGCAGCTGACCAACACACAGGAAACAACTCTGCGAAGCACCAGACTGCTTTGCCCTTTCTTTGGGACTGTTACTACCAGGGGACCCAAATCAACACGGTTTGTTTCCTTGAGGCTGAGACATTTTTGCAACGTTCAGAGGGCACTATCAGCTCTTCCAAGACAACAGGCCAGAGCACTGCTTGGTCCTAGCATCAAGCATACAAACCTATGTATGCAACCCCTGAAAAGCAAGTTTTACAGCAGGACTTTTCAATGACCTTTTATACCCTAGACACGTGGAAGTGGAAGGTTCTCAACCACAGCACAGCTACATCCAGTTTAAGGTCAAAAGCAGAACAATGCTGTTTTGTGCTTTAAGAACTCCTCACAGGAAGCTGAGCCCAGAACTAGTTTTTTATTTTCCCATGTCTGCTTGCACTATTTCTGGCCAAAGCCATGCCAATGCAAAGATTATTTTTGAGATTATTACCACCTTCATAACTGCCAAAAGGGAATAAACCAATAGACTGAGTAGTCATAAAAATCTGGAATGGCTAAAAAAACCCACTAGTAGCTACAGATGTGAGAATACAAGGTATTTTCAAACGGGGAGACAAAAAAATCCTAAAGATATTTACACACATCACACAAGTGAAAAAAAAAATTGAGCAAGTGTGTTCATGTTCCCAGACTCTGACATATTATTTAACAGAAGAGACTGAATGTCTCCTGCAAAGCCATCACAATATTCAAAGAAGCTCAAGCACTGTTCACAAGAAAACACACAGTAGGAAAAGGAGCAAGTTGCATTTAATTACAAAAAAAGAGGGTTTCAGCCAGTTACAAGCCAGCTTAGCCCAAACATTATCCCTTACTAAAGGACAGACGTAGTGACACCACATTAAGTTGCATCATTCCTTTCATAAAGCAGGACACCCAAACACTTCCTGAATGGTTTCTTGTAAATCTTTTCTGATATCACCCTAGCGATACACTCTATCTTGCTGTGATGGTACAGAAAGTCAAAAAACAATTATTCCCACTTCTTGCATATAGGTAAAAATAAACATAAACAAGGATTAGAGAATCATGAGAGAACACAAACAGATCTCCACCTCAATGCATCATTTACCTCCAATGAAAGGTGATTAATTAGGAAAAATGAATTAAAAAAAACCCAAACAAACAAAAACCACAAACAGTAGAACAGATGTGAAGACATTACAGTGTGAATGCCAGCTGCTTACAAGCAAGGAATGTGCATAGTAATGTTCACTGTTTTGCTTGTAGGGCTTATGCAAAAGAGACAGAAAAAACTGCATTGAGACCTTAATGGTTTAATTTCAACCTAACAAGTACAGTAATACTGCTGCCAAATGACAGACAATCTTCAATCCCCTTGGAGCAACTAACTCCTCACCTGCTCCACTGTGTTGCCTCTATTCTAAAGAGCAAGATTGTAGGTGAACACAGACCTCGTTTGTGGACGGAGGAGACCAACCTCATTCCTCCCTGAGCACAAGCATCCATCCCTGTAGGCCTGAGAGAAGACATAATTTTCTTTTTGCAGCAAAACACCAACAAGGAATCTTTTCTGTTCCCAACATTTGTATTAATAAGAGGATTATTTTAAGGAGAATGAAGCTCGAACCATTTGTCAGTCTCTTTTCCTCCCTACATGGCACAGGCTACTCAATCTGCATTTGGGACTTCCAGCTGGTATCAAGTCCTCGAAGATACACTTGGAACTAGAGTCTGTCCTCTGTTTCATCTGGGCAGCCACAGGAAAGATGCCTTTCACTTGAACACCTTAGGCACTGAATGCTGTAATCCACTGAAGACACTGAAACATTAAAGTGCTCTTCATTTTTTTTTTTTTTAAACAAAACAAAACACAAACCTGAATGCTTTACAGGTCACTCATCCTACATCCCAAACTGGACCAACAGATAACATACTATTTTTAATGCTCAACGACAAACAAGTTCATTTCTGAAACTACATTAATACAGACAGCAATGCAAGTTATGACAGAAGAAACAGATTTCCACAGAACATTCAAGTTGATGGCAGAGAAATGAATAATTGGGAGAGACCTCTGACAGTTAAAACACCAGGGGG